TTATGGTACTTATGCTCTTACATAGCAGTAACATTCACACACGCAAGAAAAAACTTACGCAAAACGTCAATCGCCTAACGAGCGTAGCGATATTTATCGAATAACATTTGCCTATCTTACTTATGGGATCTCACACTTTTGCTAATTAGCATACTATTTTAACTCTTGAGAAAGTGGAAACCCGATGCAGGTTCCCAATTAGCACGACATTCAAAACCCAATTACGAACGAGAACCTTTGAAGCAGAAGTTCAAAATATCTTTTTTTTTCTGAAGTACCCATGAATTTCTAAGCTCTCACCCATCACACACAACACTGCAGCACACTAATTCCCGCGAGAAGTGCTCGACAAGAGCACCCATTCTTTAAATGATCTGTACAGCTTCAAAACAGTAGTAATGTAATCCTTTTGCAGAATAAAAACCTGAGCATTACGATCCCCAACGAAGCTGATGATCAACTTCTCGAAGAGCTCTTCTAGCCACCACGAAAACACTGCAAATTATATTGCATACCCTGTAGTTGCAACAGAATTGATCATTATTAATTATTCATCTCGAATAAAATGATAAGAGAACTGTGAATTGTTACAATGCAAATTTTAACAATCTTAACCTTACAATATAGCCAGAAAATACGTAGGTGGATGACGAAAAAAGCTAGAACAGGAGGCCAATGATGATGTAAGGAGTGTCGGCGGGGCGGATGGTATACCGTCTATAACGACAATTTGGTGTGCAAGTTACCAAATCAAAGATCAGAAAATGGAGAGGAAGGAAGTAGTCGATAGCTAGGGCCGGCAGCACCTTGGCAGATCGCGGGGTGGGGGAGAGAAGAGCAGACAGCTACACGGGATCAAAGAAGGTTCCTCCTCGTACAACAAGAAAAAGTCGCGTAGTCACAGTGATGATGCATACGAGGTGAGAGACAAAACAAGCGAAGCGATGCGGAGGCTTCTTCAAAGCAGCACGCACTTGCTCTTCTTCTTCTTCTTCTGTTGAAGAGCTGCTTGCGTTGCCTTTTCGAATACTTCGCGGATACCCTGAAATCATTAAGAAATTGCAGTGAACATGGTAATAGAAATTTTGCCTGCGTAAAATTTAACCTTCGAGCTCTCAACTCGTTTTTACAAACACTATTGTTTCCTTTCAAAAACAAAAGAGAAAAGACTCTTGTCATGAAAAAAATATTTGTTACACAAAAAAAACACTAATTTACTGAAAAAAGCTAAGTAGCTAAGATGAGCCTTAGCGAACATTCATCGTACAAGATACCAAGAAAAATCTTAAGAACATATAAACTTACATCTTTGGTCTTCGCTGAGCACTCAAGATATGCAAAAGCACCAATCTGTTCGGCTATAGCGCGACCCTGTTCGGGTCTCACAGGCTCCTAAAACACATGAATTTCACTGATTCGCTATCAGACACATTTTTCAGGAGATAAAGTGAAATAAAATTGATTATTGGAATTTCATAGCTTTCAAAATGTCGACGTAAAACGAAGTAATTTGTAAACATGGAAAAACTTAATTATGCACATTTCATGCATGCATTTGCACTCGGTTGATAAGTCTACTGCAAACCAGCCCATGTTCATTGACATGTAAGTCTTTCGTTAGATAATCTTGCTAGCTCGCAAAAAAAA